TACTCTGCTTAACAAAGGGAGCGTTGAAGATCTGGCACAGAAGCTGCAACTCTCTCTGGCCCTTTGGGCTTGCGCCATTGCTGTTGGAGGATTGCCCCATTGCTGATGGAGGATTGCCCACGTGGGTTCCACAGGCCAGCTTTTCTTGACATCCTAACCAATGGACTGAAAGTCCAATTTGAAATTAAATCTCAGTCATTCATTTGCTTGGTGATTCTTATCCCAAGGAAATCAAGATACCTTTTGTAAGGTCGTGGTGGCCCAGCATGGCTGGGGCCGGAACCTTGAATTTGGGGCAGTTACTATCTGCATTCCGGGAGCCTTCTAAATTCTGGGACCCACCTGCATTCCGGGAATCAACTCTGCCCAGCTGGCATACTGATAAGCTTCACTGAGTAGTCGTCTTTAAAAAAAAGCAAAGCAACTTCCATGCCCCATAGAAGCTTACTTGTGTTCTCCATGGAAATCCTGGGCCAATTTCTCTGACCACCATGGGGGTAGGTGAACCTCACCCTCCCGAGAGCACAATAAATTTCCTGCCTGTTAACTGCCCCAAACCTTTTGCCTTTATGACAATTCAGAATAGAATGTTCTTTAGAGAAATCGCCGGTGGTTTAGTTTAGGGTGAGATCCATAGATGAGGCTGGCAGCGGAGTCACCAGAGCCTCTGGCCACAGGTGTCCTAAGGGAAAGAATGGGTCAAAGGGGGAGGGAGATACAGGGAAAAGGAGATAACAGAGTAAGGACACATTCACTATTGCCAGACCTCACAAAATTAACACGCATTCCTGATGATTCTCCAACACCCAGAACATACTCAGTCTCCCTGTTCAAATCAGAGGTCAAGTCTTCCGTCTTTGGACCAGTTCAAATCAGGATGCGAACACCATGCAAACATGGCGGGATGGTGATGCTTCAGGGGCAGGAGCTGGCTTCTGTGGTCATGTCCACTCACTGCCCTCTGCCGCCTCCACCTTCTCAGCCTCCTTTGCTGTCTGGCCTCCCATTGAAAGGAAGCACTTATGGGCGGTTTGAGGGGTGGCAGGAGGCTGTGGCCGGGCTATTTTCCCCTCATCTCTGCCCATGGCAGTGCCTTTGTTACATTGGTGATGCCAGCTCCCTCCAGTCAGCCTCACTGGGACTCCAGTTCTTAGAGGTTGGCCCCGGCTCCTGGGTCCTGGCAGGACCATCTTGTCCCTTGTTCTCTCAAGCATGAGGGGGTCCCTTACTGATGTCATCTCTGGGTGGCCTCCTCATTCCTTTTGTCTCTTCAGCATGTTGGGCACCCATCCCTTGTACCCAATTCTTCTGTTGAACTGCCTGCCGTGGGCGGAACATGATTAAGGAAGACAAAACATTGTCTTACATTCTTTTTTCTTTTGTAAATGTTATAACATTGATTCTTCTCATGAGTTTATTATTTTTTCTTACATTTGTTGGCAAACTGGCCATCTAAAGTCATGGCGATGGCCACCAATTACATGTGGCTATTTAGGTTTAAATAACAATTTAAATAACAATTAAGTAAAAATGCATCTCAATAGTACAGATCATAGTTCAAGGAGCTGGACACCACCTGGAAGTTGCTCCCATGTTGACAACACCGACATCAAGAATAGTCTCATCATGGCAGGAAGTTCCATTGGACTTCACTGGTCTCAAGGTCTGATGAGATTCAGTTTCAATACTTTAGCAAGAGTACTTGGAAGGGAAGACTTGGGCAAATGTCTCATGTCCATGTCCTTGTGTTTAAAAGAGCTGAAAATTAATTTTCTCTTCATAACCATCTGGTGTATCTGTTACAGTGTAGTAGACTCCTTGTCCATCTCCACCTTCACTGGATCAAAATCTGAGGCTAGATCCCGTTGCTTCTTAAGTAATTCTGTTGCACGATGACTTCTGAAAGCATTAAAATACAAGACATGGAGGTGACTTGTAGACATTTGTTTTTTAAAGATTATTTATTCATACAGAACTGGGGTACAGGCCAGAGATGTAGAGGGTGAGAGGATTCACCAGAGACAGAGTGGGGAGCAGAACAGGCAGATCGATGAAGTACACTGCTGAGGGGAGCAGCGGGCCGGTCAGGAGAGGTCTCCTGTGCCATGTGGGTCACCTCCTGGGCGGGGATGGAACTCATGCTGAAGTGACTTTAGCTTCTTAGTGCTGTGCTTTAACCCACTGCGCCACCAGGGAGGGCCCTGACATTTGTATTTGGAAATAGAACTAGGGAGGGAGGGGAGCCCTGTGTAGTAAACTGACTTAGGTAGCCAAAGTTTGGGAGAAGAATAAGCCTGTATCCAGAGAACAGTTGATACATTTAGAACAAAGTTTACTGTTTATGTCTAACTGTTCTAAAATTTGCTCGCATGCAAGTCTGTGATGATTTTCACCCGCCCACATGCAAGCTTGAGATTCTGCCTCTGCTACATTTGATATTAAATCCTTTCTTTTGTTCAATATGATGGTGTGGTATATGAGAGTTGTATATATTTTCATTCTTGTGCAGCAAAATTAAAAGTTCACAATTGGAGGTTGATTTTGTTCATCTGGTAAATTCAAGAATATGGGAGCCACCAAAATTATATGTGAGTTGTAGTTAAGAATGAGGTCATTAGGGGCCTCCCTGGTGACCCAAGGGGTTAAAGTACAGCACTGTGAAGCTATCTACAGCCACTGCAGCATGAGTTCGATCCCCTACCAAGGAGGTGACCCATATGGCACAGCAGACCTCTCCTGTTTCACCCATTGCTTCCCTCAGCAGTGTATTTCAGTCATTCTGGCTGTTCTGTTCCCCACTCTGGTGAATCCTCTCACCATCTGTACCCCAGTATTTGTATGCATAAGTAAATAAATCTTTAAAAAAAGTGAGGTCATGACATAGCATATTATTTTAAGTTCATGTTAAGTATATTAAAGTTTGCCTCAAATATTAATCTGTATTAAGTCTTAACAAACAGACAAAAACCAGAGCAGCACAGAGAAGGATGTCATTTGCTCTTTTCTTTGAGTGCAGCCTGAAGCTCCAGGCAGTCTGTTGCTGAGAGTAAAGCTCCCATATTTTATACGTGGTTATATACTGAAATCACAGTCAGTTCAAACAATGTATAAGAAAAGCCCAGGTGTTTTCATAATTCACTGAATTTCCTGAGAATTCCAAGTATGTGCAGAAAATCCTGACATCCCCAAAGTTGGCTGCATTAAATACAGTCAGAAATCACATGTAAAGGAGAAAAAATTCTGGAGAACTTAGAAAACCTGGGTTCTAATCCCTGTTTTCTTCTCATTTCTTTGAGGAAATCAATTTTGGGGGGCCTTGGTTTTCACATTTATACAGTTCAGGACTCAGTCACCAACTCCTGGCAATGTCTTTTTATTTATTTATTTTAAAGATGTATTTATTTATGCATACAAGAACTGGGGTACAGGCCAGAGGTGTGGGGTGAGAGGCTTCACCAGAGTCAGAGTGGGGAGCAGAACAGGAGGACTGACCGAAATACACTGCTGAGGGGAGCAGCGGGCTGTCAGGAGAGGTCTGCTGAGCCCTGTGGGTCAGGGGTGAGGAGCTTCAAAGTGCTGCGCTTTAACCCCTTGCGCCACCAGGGAGGCCAGGCAATGTCCTTTTACAATATTCCCAAGACCCTGATGGCCCTCCCTTAGCCTGTGCACTGACCTGCACTAGTGTCCAGTCACCGCCTCCTGGTTAAATACGCTCATAGTGACATTTCCTGACCTTTGCTGAGGGCCGGCTGTGTGTGCCATGGCACCTGCTCGGTCTATGAACACCAGCTCCTTTTTTCTTTTTTTTTTTAAGATTTATTTCTTGATGCATACAAAACTGGGGAACAGGCCAGAGGTGCAGGGACGGCAAGGATTCTCCAGAGACAGGGTGGGGAGCAGAACAAGCAGCCAGCGGTGAGGGCCGGTCAGGAGAGGTCTGCTGCGCCATGTGGGTCACCTCCTGGGCTGGGGATCCAACTTGCACTGAGGCAGCTGTGGCTAGCTTGCAGTGCAGCAACCTAGCCATTGGCCACCAGGGAGGGCCCCACATAAATAGATTTTTCAATTGCGTGAAGCTCTTGTCAAGTTGGTAACTGATGCTCCTGGTACAAAATCCCACTTACACTCAGAGGTGGGCAGCTAGTTCTCTCCACCTGCTCCCCAGCCACCACCCTCTCCTTACTGGGAGACAACGGGGAGGGGCCTCCGAAGCACTTTTCCAGCTGCAGGTGGGGTCTTGCCAGGGGTCCAAGGCGAGGAAGACGGGCCTGGGACTGGAGCCAAGCCCCTTAGCCTTTCCCAGAAAAGTGTTAAGATTTCACTTGATAAAGGCTTCAATGAGAGGGAGCGGGCTCATGCCTGGAGGTTGTTACCATCATTCTGCCTGGTCAACGGTCACATTCTCACTACCAAAATCACTTTTGAGCAAGACTTTTAAATTAAAACTTGCCCAACGTCACTTCCCTGGGATTGCCCTCCAAGGCTGCCTAAGTGTCAGCTGCACCCAGGGATGGACTGACAGATGCCATTTTCCACTTCAAGCGAGCGGGCGCCCGCGTCGGGACCAGGGCGCGTCGGGGAGCGCGTCCCGGGGAGGTTCGCTGCCAGGCCGACGCCTCCCAGGAGCCCCGGCCAGATCCCGCTGCCCCCCACCCCCAGCGCTCCCGCTCCCCACCCCATCTGGAAAACCGTGCGTCTCTGGGCGGCCGCCGCCTTCGCTCCCCTGCCCCTGCCCCCCGGCTCCCCTGAGCTCTGGTCCGGGTCGCGGGGTGTGTGCGGGCTCCGAGAACCGTCTCGCGCCGGGGAGCAACTCCAGGGGGTGACCGGACACCACCGCGGGCTGGCGCGTCAGGCTCCCCCCGCCGCGGCCGCGACCGCCGGCCCAGGTTAAGCGCCCCCGGAGGGAAATAAAGGGTCAACAGCCCCTCCCAGCCTCCGCACCCCACCCTCCTGCACTTGCCCGCCCTTCGCCTCCAGTAGGGATGGTGGGAGCGCGAGTGCGGCTGCTCGGCCCCGGGGAAAGGGTTCTCCTCCCAGCCGAGCCCTTGGTCCTGGCAGACGCCCCAAGATTGTTGTGAGGAGTCTAGCCAGTTGGTGAGCGCTGTAATCTGAACCAGCTGTGTCCAGACTGAGGCCCCATTTGCATTGTTTAACATACTTAGAAAATGAAGTGTTCATTTTTAACATTCCTCCTCCAATTGGTTTAATGCTGAATTACTGAAGAGGGATAAGCAAAACCAGGTGCTTTCTCTGCGGGCTCTCCAGTGGCTCAGAGCACCCGGCTGTTCCTCGTCCTCGCCACTCGCGAGCCCCCCGGGCCCAGAAGAGGTCGAAGTTCAGGAGCTGCTCCGAGGGTCCCGCGGAGGGAGCACTTTTTTTTTTTTTTTTCCCTCACTTTGCTTTCGCCTCGCATCTCGGATATGCCAGGACTAAAAAGGTAGGTTCCACGCGCCAGACTTTTTCGTCCAGGGTCTGGAGCCCTCACTGAAAACCTGATGGGTGGAAAATGGCAATGGCCGTGATTCAGGCTGTGTCAGGATATTGGAAAAGGCATTAGCTAGTGATGCAATGATACTGTTAATTATAAAAAGCTGCGCCTCTGTAATTTCCATCTTGAAGCCTTGCTTCAGGAGTGGGTATTTTATAATACAGTTTCAGAAGTCGGCATCCAGAGCGCTCTGCAAAGACTCCAGAGCTGGTTCTGCTTTCTTTTTTGGAAAAGGCAGCAAATCTGCATGCCTTTAATATATATATATATATATACGTATATACTTTTTAATTTGCGAGACCAGTCACTGGTTCACTAGCAATTACTTTTGCTGCGTTGGCTGCTGGACAAGAGATCCGGCTAGGTGAACATCCCTGGGCTGGATTTGCTCTATGTCTGTCTGGGATTCACAGAGGGCATGCAACCCCGAAGTTTCAAGCCAATGAAAAGTGGGGACTGCCGACAGAAATACATGTAAGCAAATGTTTTGCTGTTCTTTAAGGAAATTGCAATTCCAGTAAAGAAATCCTTAAACCTTGAAGCACTTTGTCTAGATCACAGCTGTAGGGTCTTTCTCCAGCAATCTTGAAAATGTAGCTGCTTTGAACAGATGAACTGTGTGTGTGCATGTGCTGAAAACTACACCGTAATAATGTCATCCGGGACGGAGGATCCGCACTTTCTGACAGCCCTCAGATTCCGCTGGTCTCCTGGTTCTTGTCACCGAGTGGGATGATGCATATGTTGGGTGGACCTCCTTCTTTCAAAAGCCTGGGGAACAGATATGACAGCAAAAGCTCCCCCAGTGTTCCTGCAGTTTTTGGAGTTTTTAGTTTTTGGAGTTGTCTAGGGTTTCTCATGACAAGGTGTGACTATTTATGACATTGTAAGAACAGCCAATATGCCTGGGCATTATTTCATCTTCAGAACCTTTTCAGTTAGTCTGGAATTTTCTTAGCCCCCAGGTCCAGGACCCAGCTGTGGCTCTTCTAGGAGGTTGGGCTGAGGCTGGACCTCTTGTAGGAGACCTGTCTCTGGGCTGCCCTGCAGCCAACGGGAATTGGGGAGTCGGGGGAGAAATGGGGTTAGCATGTCTTTTCCACTGGCTCTTGAGGCTCACTGCATTGTCAGCCTGTTCTGTCTCCAACATAAACGAGACAGAGTTTTATAACCACCTGAAAGGAAACTTCATGTGAGGAAACAGGAAAACATTGAAATTCATAATATACAGCCTGGAAAATAAATTTGTTATTGTTCTTTCATTCCTCCCAGCTATAAACCTGGCTTTTGCAACTATCAAATCAAATATCAAAAGCCCTGGGATTTGGCTCTGTGCTTTATAAGGTCAGAGCTGTCTCGAGCCCTGGAGAACCTGGCTTCTGCAGTCACTTGGACGAAATGAAAACCTGTGGACTCTTGGGGGTGTCTTTATGTTTTGGATGGAGGATTAGATGAAGGAAGAGGCTTGTATCTTCCTAGCACACATCGAATTTCACTCCCTCTGATTATCGCCTTTACTTGCTGGCCACCAAGCCTCAGGGCTGCTGATTTAGATGATCCTTGGATCATGGAATTGAGAGTTTTGTAATCTCTTACACATAGTTTTTATAAAGGGAGTGATTATGAGACAGAGGTGTATATTGGGCACAACAGGCCATGAATCCAGCACCGTCTCCAGGTTTATGGTTCTACTAAAGAAGTCATCAAGGTCACCTCCTCCAGGAAGCTTCCCTTCCTGACCTACCCACAGCTCGGCTCTCAGGGCACTCACTGTGTACTTCTGTCAGTCTTTTTACCAGTGTGCAGACACTGATTCATGTAGCTCATCCTAGTTTTGTAGCTGTTCTCATCCTAGTTTTGTAGCTGTTCTAGGGTCATTTCAGAATAAAGGACTTCAAAACTCAGGGTCATGCATGCAAGGAGTTGTTGTTGCTCTGAGATATTGTTCTTGAACTGAATAATAATAGTCAAATAAAGCACTGCATTTGCAAAGCTTTTGTTCTTTTTTTTCCATCATTGTTAAATGTTTAATACCTTTCACACTGTGAGGGAACCAATCTCTAAAGCTCTTTCATCTTGCCAAACTGCAGCTCTGTACCCATTAAACAACAATCCCTACCTCCCTGACCCTCAGCCCTAGGACAGCCACCCTTCATCCTGCTTCTTCTGTGATTCTAACTGCCACGTCCCTCCTACAAGTGGAATCATATAGTATTTGTCTTTTGGCGACTGGCTATTTCTTTAGGAAAATGTCTTCAAAGTTATCCATGTTGTCATAGGTATCAGAATTTCCTTCTTTTGTAAGGCTAAATAATATTCCAAGTACACATGTACCTCATTTTACTCAGCCATTCTTCCATCAACACTTGCGCTTCTTCTATGATACCTTTGTCCGTTGTGTTTATTAATGTTAGGAACACAGGTGAGCAAATACTCCATTAAGATCCTGTATTCAATTCTTTTGACTGTCTACCCAGAAGTGGAATTGCTGAATCATGAGAGAAACCTACTTTTAATCTTTTAAGGTCTCTCCATCCCATTTTTCACAGCAACTTGAACCACTGTCAACAGTGTACAGGGTCCCAGTCTCTCCATAGGCTCACCAACACTTGTTATTTTACTTGCTTTTCCCACTACCTCTGTCTCAATGCATGTGATGTTGCAACCATTTTGTATTTTTTAAACAGTTTGGCCATCTTAGGTCTGAGCTTTTGAGCAAGGAGGTAGAACACCCAGGCGCAGGTTATGTTGGCGTTTCTGGATGGCAGCGCCTGTTATTTCTCGATTCTTCCTCCAGGGTCTGGTGCTGTGTCTCTTCTTCACTGGGCTGCCCAGATCCCCTGGGCCGCACTCTGTCATTGGGATGAGGTACTTCCCAAGATGCATTTCTTCAGTGGACAAAAGTGCTTCACGTTTGCGCGTTTCTTTTATCATCTGAGAGCTTGATGGCTCGTTCATTCTGCAATCATTTCTGAATAAAGGCCTCAAAAACTCAGGCAGCCCTCCCATGCAAGAAGCAAAGACCAGCACCGCTGGTCCAGATTTTTGATACCACAGAGCTCGTTTTTTAGACTCTTTCTGTGACACAGCAAAACCCCTTATTTAGAAAAGGCCATTCAATGTGTAGATGAGCTGTTTGGTCTGGGAGGGAGGGTTGGGGTATCAGGAACCTCCCCGGCCTCTTCCCGTGTGCTCCCTCTTCCCCACACCGCTTTAGGGGCACAGGGGGAAGCACCCTCCAAAAGCAGGGCATGCAGGAGCTCCGTGCTGCCCCCAAGACGTTCATGCTGGCAGTATCTTGGGCTCTCACAGGGGCTTCTGTCTCTCCACAGGCTTCTCACCGTTACCATTCTGGCTCTCTGTCTTCCAAGTCCTGGAAATGCACAGGTAAGCTATTACTTATGTTCATTATCTAGAAGTATGTGAAAACCTAGAAGGTGTCCAGTCACATACTGCAAATCCTAGGATTGTGGCGGAGGGCGGGGGCACACCTAAACGCAGGTGTCGGATATGACTCCGTCCTTTATTAGGGCTGGCACCTCGATGTCCTGACTCCCAACCTCGGCCCCTTTCACGACACGATGCTGCCTCATCTGTGTCCCTCAGGGACTTGGAGTCAAAGGTACTCCAGTGTTTCTGGATGGCGGGACCCCTGTGACACCTGCAGGAGGCTCACGGGATGGGGGAGGGGGACGCCAGGAAGTGGAAGGAAACGGGCCCAGTGCATTGTGGGCCACAGCCGCCCTGACCTGGAAGCCCCACCTGAGGTGAGTGAGGCGAGTGAGGTGAGGTGAGTAAGGTGAGCCCCCTCAAAGGACTGTGTGAGGGGAGTTGCTGCTCCCATCTCCGCACACAGCGTCAGGGACTTTATAGAATCTAGGTTTGCGGGTTTGTCTCTGCGCCAGGACAAGGTGGGCCGAGCTCCCCTCAAGCTCAGATCCTTCCTCCTCCGAAGAGGGTCCTCCTAAGATTAACAAAGACGTTAGGCCTTGGCAGGACCTTGGTGACCTCTAACCCAGGTCTGGGTGACAGGAGGCATGTATGCCTGGAGGGCAGTGGTCACTCACTGGCCTACATGGACACTTTCTGCCTTTACAGCACAAGAAGTACTGTCACCCCATTTGTCAGGGGAGAAGACTGAGGCCTAGATAAAATGTGGCTCAGAAAGAGCTCAGTGAGAATTTGAAGCCAGGCCCCCACCTGGTCTCCGTCCCCTGGCTTCTGGGCTTTGTGGCACAGCTTCTTGGCTCAACTGCTTACTTTTGCCTGAATGCCCTAAGGCACCTGCACCCCTTCCCAGGAATGTAGACAAAATCCAGGGACAACTCAGGGGAGCCTGACCCCTGAGGGAAAAGCCAGGGAGAGGCTCCCACAGTCAGAAATACACTTCTGGGCTTATTTCTATAAACCATCAGTCTCTACGGTTTTCCCAAAAGGCTCACAGATTTTCTACTTTCAAGACAGTACTTTTAAAAAATGACAGAATTTTTTAAATGCACGACATTTAACTTAAGTTGTATAGTCCTAGGAGACTGTTGAGATCTATTTCTGGAAGCATCTTTGTGTAATTGTCTTGCTGAGGTTCACAAAGGAATTTCTGCAATTCTACTTTTCGTCAAAAACTGTCTGCGTCACCATGGAACTTTTTCTAGACAGACCTCAGAGTCAGGTAGTGGAATTTATAGGGGGCATGGGCTTCATCTGGGGCCCTGAGAAAGTGAGGTTAAAAAGCACCCAAAGAAAAAGAGATAATGCCTTAAAAATCAGTCATATGCATTTCCAGAAGGGACGAACTGAGGCTGGCTGGAGGGGCAGATCAGACATGGTCATTTTCCTTTGTAACTAGAGCATTAAAAAGCCCTAATAACCATGGGCCACAGATGGGGGTTTCGAGCAGTGGTGCAAGGAACTTTCAAAATAGCAGCAAGTTTTAAATGGCTGTGTGAAAATTCAAAAGGAAAAAAGGGCAAATAGGGGTTATACTAGAGGTGTTTGTGTGACTGATGCTTTTCTTACTTTCCTCCATTTTCCAAAATTTCTATGATGCAGTTATAATACTTTTATAGTATAAAAAAACTACCTAAAATGACCTTGCCTCTTTCTTCTTCCTCCAGCAACAGTGCACCAACGGTTTTGACCTGGACCGCGCTTCGGGGCAGTGTTTAGGTAGGAGGCTCTGTGGACCCTTGGGGGTGGGCTTTCAGTGTGACCTCACAGCAGGGCCGTTTCTCTCTGGCTTTGGTTCACCATGGTCAAGTCTGTATTCACTATGGAAGACAGCAGTGACGGGGAGGGGGGGGGGATTGAAAAGGGGGCACCTTTTTTTGTGGCTAGCGCCTGACTGAGCAGGGTCAGGGGTTGAAGATGTGGCACTCAATTGCTGTCCTCAAGGAAATCTGCATCTCTGTGTCCTATGATTATCATAACAAATTGGCACAACTGTGGTGACTGAAGCAACACAAATTTATCATCTCACAGGTCTGAAGGTCGAAGGTCCATAGGGATCAGCCAGGCCCAAGTCGGGGTGCTGGGAGAGATGCATCCCTTTCCAGAGGACCTCGGAGTAAATCCATGTCCTCGCTGGTGGGCATTGCTGGCAGAGTTCAGCCTCTTTCATTTTTTTAAAAACTGAGACATGCCTAAGGACTGGCTTGATGCATGAACGGGAGGAGTGTAGGGAGGCAGTGTGGTTCAGCGGTAGTATTTGCTGAGAGCCCTGTTATGCCACATAGTTACTGTTTGTTTTTGGTGGTAAGAGCATGGAACATCCTTCTCTTAGCATCATTCTTCTTTTATTTTTTAAAAGTTTATTCATATATGCATACTAGGTCAGAGATGTAGGACGTGGGGGATGGGTTGTGTGTGAGAGGATTCACTAGACAGAGTCGGGAGCAGAACAGGCAGATCAGTGAAGCTCACTGGTGAGGGGAGCAGCCGGGAGACAGGAGAGGTCTGCCGCGCCATGTGGGTCACTCCCTGTCCCAGTATCAAACTGCTGCAGTAGCTGTGGACAGCTTCACAGTGCTGTGCTTTAACCCCTGCACCACCAGGGAGGGCCCTTCTTTTAGCATCTGTCACAGCTCAGCATTGTTAAGGCTAATCTCAGCGCTGTGCACTAGACCCCAGAACTTAGTCCCCTTTTAACTGGAAGATTTTACTGTTGAGCCGGCATCTCCCAACTTCCCCACCTTCCTGACCCTGGGAACCACTTTCCTGCTCTCTGCAAGTTCAACCCTATTAAGTTCCACATATAAGTGACTTTCTATTTGTCTTTCTCTGTCTGACTTCTTTCAATTAGCCTCATGCCTTCAGGGCCCATCCATGCTGCTATAGATGGCAGGATTACCTTCTTTCTCTTGACTGAATAATAATAATAATAATCCATCTTAGGATGTTTCCATATCTTGACTAATGTGAATAAAGCTGAAACTTGAGAATGCAGATATTTCTTCAAGATTCAGTTTCATTTCCTGTGGCTATATACCCAGAGGTGGAATTGTTGGATCCTATGGCAGTTCTATTTTTAAAATGTTGAGGAACTTCCATACTGTTTTTCACCATGGCTGCACACGTAGCATTCCATAGAATTCAGTCTCCTGCAGTTTGGGAGCTGAGGCCTGTTTCCTTACTGAGGGCTGTTGCCAGTCTCCAGAGGCCGCCCTCATTCCTTGGCTCCTGGCCTCCTCTTCAAAGCCAGCAGTTCAGGCCTATCACATGGGTGAAACGCTGCCCTTTCTGCTGTTGCGTCTGTCTGACCAGCCTTCTGCCTTTCCTCCTTTCACATAAGGGATTCTTTTGCTCACACTGAGCCCACCCAGACAATCTCCCCATCCTCAGCTCAGCTGATTAGCTACTTTAATCCCAATTGCTACCTTGCTGCTTTTTGTCATGTAATTTAACATGGTTGCAGATTCCAAGAGTTAGGATGAAGATGTTTTGTGCTAAGGTGGGGGTGCTGTTCTCCTAGCACGCTGTCTCACGGGAGAAGCACACCAAGGTAAAGTGAACTCTGTGGGGCGGAATGAAATCATTGCCAAGTGGGGGGTGAAGGCAGTGGCTCCTATAAAAGTGGGGGAGAGAGTGATACCTTCTGTCTGGGGCCTGTAAAGAAACCCTTCAGGGAGGTTACATTTGAATTTTTTTAAAATTTATTTATTTATGCATACAGAACTGGGGTACAGGCCAGAGGGGGGAGGCAGTGAGAGGACTCACCAGAGACCGAGTGGGGAGCAGAACAAGCAGTGCAGTACACTGCTGAGGGGAGCAGCAGGCAGGTGAGGAGAGGTCTGCTGCACCATGTGGATCACTTGCCTGGCTGGGATCGAACTTGTGCTGAAGCAGCTGCAGCAAGCTTCACAGTGCTGCGCTTTAACCTTTGTGCCGCTAGGGAGGCCCTATTTCCTAACTTTTTGAAAGAGGTCTGACCTACCCACTTGAACCATGACTTTAGGCTAATTGCCAAGGAAGGGGGTATTCTGAGCCTCAGTTTTTTTCCTCTTCCAAGTTGAGCGTTGGCATGAGGTCTGATGTGAAGGGTTGGGGTGAGCTGTCAGGACCTTGGCAGATGCCCCCCAGCCTCTATCCAACATGGCTCAGGCCCTGGGGCTGGTGAGCTGGCCCAGAGTGTGGGTTCGGGTGGCCTCCCCTGTCTCCAGCCCGGCAAGGCTGATTTTCTAAGGAAAATCAGACCTCTGCTCCAGGTCTGACAAGCGGAGCACCGGCCTGGCTGGCAACGGGCCCTGCTTGCTGGCACGGTGCTCGCTGGCTTCCCAGTCAGGCTCCGCTGTCTCAACAAGCATCTGACTTTTGGCTAAGCCTGTCTTTCTAGTTTCAGGGGACTCTTCCCTGCCCAGCGGTCACTAAGCGTAGATGTGGGATGGGTCTTACCGCCATCCTTGTGTGCCCACAGTGCAGTTGGGGCACAGAACGACATGCCCACAGATAGGTATTTTGTTACCTTCTTTTACGAAGTTGATAGTGTTTTTCCCTAGGTGTTATCATAGGAAATTAAAGAAATACTCTTCCTTGGTTTTCAAAAGCGAGCTCATCTAAAGAGAAGAATTAAGATTCTGTGGCTTATGGCCCTGGTGGCGATGGTGGCATTTGAGTGACTGATGTTTGGGGTGTCGCGGGTCAGCGTGGCTCGGGGCAGCCAACATTCGGGATTCCCTGCTGGTGTTGGGGAGCAGGGCCTGTGCTCAGACACCGCCCCCCAGAGTGTCCCTGCAGCCTGCGTGGCACCCTGGCTGCAGAGCTCTGCTGAATGTGTGCCACGCACGCGTGGACGCTAATGCTCCCTTCTCTGTGGCTTCCAGATATCGACGAATGCCGGACCATCCCTGAGGCCTGCCGGGGAGACATGATGTGTGTTAACCAAAATGGCGGCTACCTGTGCATCCCCCGGACAAACCCGGTGTACCGAGGGCCCTACTCCAGCGGCTCCTCCTACTCGACACCCTACTCAGGGCCGTACCCAGCTGCTGCCCCGCCGCTCTCACCTTCAGCCTCAAACTACCCCACGATCTCCAGGCCTCTCATGTGCCGCTTTGGATACCAGATGGATGAGGGCAACCAGTGTGTGGGTGAGTGCCCCGGCCCCGGAGGTTCCCCTCCACTGAGCCCTGGTGAAGGCGCGTCCTCCCCCAGCAGGCCCACCCAGAGGGGACAGCAGCTGCCACCCAACACGCAAATGAAGTGACTTCCTTTGGAGTGAGCCTTTCACCCAGCAGCCGGTGTCTCTGGGGGCCTCCATCTGGGGCGTTTGGCTCGCTGTTTCATTCTCAGTTCTCCAGTAAACCCACTTGCTTTTCTTGATTGTCACCTACCTGTGGATTCATCTATCTATGAGCTCCACTGAGTCCATCTATTTCATGGATCCGTTAACTGTACATGTTATAATAATAAATGCATCTGGTCAAACATAGTACATAGAGCTCAGAGAGAAGATCTAGAAAGGACCAGAGCTTTCTCTTCAGGACTTCTCTTCCTTGACCAGAACAGATGCTCTTGTTAAAAAAAAAAAAAAAAAAAAAGGAGTCCTAAGGCCTTGTGTCTTGTGTTCTGGAAAGAAAGAGGGCTGCAAAGGAGCCTTGCTGGTGGGGGCGAGCAGTGAATCAGACCGCAGCTCAGGGAGCTGCAGACGGTGCACCCAGTGCCCAGAAGGATCCGGTGTCCCCCGCTTTGCGGCCTCCAGAAGGGGAGGGGTACCCGAGCTCCTCCCTGGTCCCTGGTTGTGGCTGGGCCTGAACCTTGGGTCTGTCTCTAGCTTGGGAAATGGTCTAGAGCGAGCATTCTAGATGAACGTCTTTGATGGTGTACCCCATCTGCAAAATATTTTTACCCTTGGATTCTCCTTATATTCATGTTTGTAGATCACACACCTATCTTGTTCTGTGGCTTGATGCGCATAAAACATTCATAAGAGATAGAAAAAATTGAAACGATGTGATAAACATAAATACGAATTGAAATTCTAGTATTTCTTTTCTGTCCTCCCCAAGCTTGCAAGAACATTGGCCTCATTAGTGAGATGTTTTCTGTTATGTTTCAGGGCTCTGGAGTGTTGAGCTGGTTGTTTTGTAACATTTTCTATGTGTTTGTGCAGATTTGTGTTTATTTCTACCTGGATATATAAGTCACATGCTAGCACACCTGAACCTATCTTTCTCCAAGGATGGTGTGTGTGGTGGGGGGGGCGTGTTGAGAAGACAAAAAATGAGCAAATGTTACCAACCCAATGCACTGGACAATAAACTCACTTCCAGGGTCAAATTCCAGGGCCAGTTACTA